AACATTTGGAATGATGTTGCAATTTTACTAAACTCAGACTTACTACTGCTGGGCTAAGTATCTAGCGTAAACAACTGGCGTTGGCCGAACTTTTAATGTTGGATACGATAGAATCCATTCTTGATTATTTTATTTGATGTGAAGTGTAAAAGATGTATACCAATGGAGGTTTGAATTGTCGGTGCTGGTATCGTATCGGTGAATGGTTTCTATTTCCAGTTTCAGAAATTTTGAGTTTCCATGCGCTCTGATTATAAGTATGACATAGGTATCAGGAGCTTTGTCATTTTTAGTGATTCACAAGTTTTTTTACATGGATTTATTTTTCTTACTAACACTCAAATTTTCATACTCCAAAGCTTTATTTCTCCCTCTGTATGGTTATTATTATATCAATCAACACTTGCTGTTATTAGTCAATATATTGACGGTATTGATTGGTTTCAACTGTATCTGATCAATATGTTCAAACCACGATACTTCAGAACTAATATACTTTTGATAAAGGCCAATACTTCAAATCTTGATAATGATAGTAATATGCTAAAGTTGCCGCTTAGACTTGGAAGTTGTAAGCAATTTATTATGTTTTCTTCTGTACACAATATTATGTGCAATACTTGATGGAAGTCGGCTTTCATTCGTCTTGGAAATTTATGCTTGCCTCAGCCTGTCTAATGTTATGGACACAGCCTTGTGAGGACCTGTTGATACAAGGCAGCTCTTGTCAGCATGTTAGTAGCAACAGTAAACAATCTAGTAGCAAAATAATACATAGAGAAGGGATGTTGTGAAAAAGGAATGATAGCTGCTTAAATGATGCGGCCTTCAATCTAACCTTTATTATGCTGGCCTAAATTGGTTCTAGATGCCATCCTTAATGCCTTAACCAGCTGATGCTTTGTTAAACTCTTGGAGAAAAAAATAGAGGAAAACATGGTTTATTCATCAACAGTTGAGAAAATTACATGTTTGTGGATGATCTATCTCAATCCTCATTGCTCACGATCTCAACCCATAAGCATTTCTCCATGCTATTACTCAAACCCTGATGTAAGGATCGTTATTATAGGGCAGAGGACCTGTACATGTATCATACCCCTAGTTACCTTGAATTGTCTACATGAGACATGTGATAACGGAAACAATGCCATATAATAGTTCCTATGAGCGCAAGAACTTTAAGAGAGGAATCATTGAGCATGCTCTCGCGGAAGAAAATCTAAGGATAATGACTACTTGGATAACTCCTTGATTGGGGTATTGATTGGGGTATGACTAACTGTATCAAATATTGACACCAACGAGGAGTGTGCTAAACTAAGTACCATATAGAACTAAGTTCTGTTTTTGTTTTTTGTTTTGTCTTGTTTTTTTTTGGGTTAGGAAATATAGAGCTAAGTGCTACAAGGGATAAAATATCATTGTACATAGAAATGTGAGCCACCTCTAGAATTCATATTGCCTCGTGAAGTGTTATTGTGGTGGGGCTCTATAATGAAATCAGATAGTCCCATGTGAGATGTAATAAAGGAAGCTTTCATATAAGAACTCGAGAACTAATCATAGGCAGAATTTTTGCAGATGGACTTATGGATAGCTACATAGTTAAACACGCTCCTTGATCAATTTCAGAATGTGTGACTTGCTAGGAAGGTTTTTTCAGGACGTGTCGATGCAATTGGCTGCTTAGTATATAAGAAAACCTTACTAGAAACCTAATAGAACTACTACTAACAGAGGACCATAATAGGAGATATTAACTGTCAGAAAATGATTAAAAAATGGACCAATTTTGTGAAAACTGGAACTGCTCTTGGGAAGTTCCAATACCCTTAACATTAACATAAGGGCTCTGCCTCGGTGGATTACTTTTCTTGAGGGAAGACTCTTTGCAGTTACAATTTTAGTTTGTAGGCTGATCGAAAACCTCTCCCACTTTTCAAATTTTATAGCTTTGATTATGAGTTTCTCGTGAATTAAAGTGTGTTAACCTTGTTCTTGGTTCTATATGGTGCCAAGATTGGCAAGTTTCAGGTTTGAAATTTTTGTTTCGAACTTAGGATCTTCATAAATCTATTCCATTTTGTAGCTCTCCTACTACTTGGAATTTTTGAGTCCGTGTCCAGATATGCATTGGTCATGTCTTGACTCTGTCTTCTTCCTGGCTTCTTGATGGGCATTAATTATACTCCTCTGTTGGTCTTCTGCTCTATCACTATTCTTGGGGTGATAGTGGTCATCTCCTGTAGTCAAACCAACATGGTTATCTTTACACGTGCTTTTTTTAGAGTGCCATGTTGATATAATTGCTGCTTTTACTTCCTTGATGTTGATACATCAACTTAAAACTGGACCTAAAAATAGCCAGGGTCCTTTGGAATTTAAACATGCAATGTCCTGGTGATTTAACTCTTGCCCAGTTGCCAGATCTTGTTCGCATGAAAGGTTGCGTCTTTTGGTGACTGAGAACATCTGCTTTATCTTCTTCCAATTATGGGTTGAAAATAAAGTCGAAGGTCATGTCTTTAGACTGGGTCATCTAGTGTTCTTTTGTTAAAATATGAAAATTTATAATGTGGATATAGTATATCTTCGATTGTAAGTCGGAATTGTTTTTCATCTATGATCACTGTAGTACACATTGCTTGGGTATTTATTGCAGACTGTTATCCATACAGGTTTTTGGTGAGAAGGCATTTGAGAAATTTGGGAAGTGGTTCATCTCATTACACTTCTCTGACCAACATGCCACATCTTATAAGAAGATTCTTGTATTCAAGTTTGCGCTTCCAGGTGTCAATGAAATGGCTAACATGACAAGACTGGTTGCTCTTGTACCATACTACATTGATTTGATTGGACGCTACAAAGTCAGCTCACAGGTCAGTTATCTCTTACTTCCCCTTCTCGGTTTAGAACTGAAGATTGCACATTGTTCTATGTATGCTCTCATTGTTCACAAATTTGTAATTGCTGCTTAGTCATGCCTTTTACATGGATATTGCTGGTATGGCACTGATTTTTATTGCAAGTATCTCCATATGCTTCTTGGTTTCAATTTATTCCCTGTCTGTCCTCATAGTTCCCAAATTTGTACTTGCTGCTTAATCGTGCCTTTTACATGGATATTACTTGTAGTGATTTTTATTGCAAGTACTATTCTCACATATGCTTTACATCCTTTTCTTTCTTTCTTTTTTTTTTAAAACTTATTTTGAGTTCTGTAATTATTTCTTAGAGAAAATTTCACAAAACACATATGTAGTTTGGAGGATTTTGCACAGAGCTACTATAAACTTTTTTTTAATTAGAGAAAATTGTCATGAATTTTTTGAGTAAACTACCATGTCTGGTAGCATTAGGGTAAATTATTAACTGTGGAGCATATAACATGTTTTTGTCAATTTTGCGCTCATATGCTTTATGTATCATCTATGATACCTTCTTCTGCCTCCCCTGTTCTCATGGGACATGGGTAATTTTATACCTTTTATTCAAGCCATTAACATGACAGTTCCTGTTGTTTTTCTGCAGTTTTTATTGTTCATTGTAGTTTTGTTTAAAAAATGTTTTAAGATAATTTTGTACGAAGACCTCCAAAGTTTGTGGTAACTTTGTGAAATTTACCCACCCTATTTTTTGTCATTCCAAACCTTTGATGACTAGTTTCTCCTGAAGAATAAACTAATTGTTTGAATTCCAAACTCGCATTGCGTTTAAGATTGCTATTAACTTTTTCAAATACGGTCAGTGGATTTATTTCATTTATATTCCAGGCCCGTTCCAAAACTGAAGCAGCAAGAACAAAGATGGCTCAAGAGGAATTCAAAGAACTGCAGAATGCTAGGCAAGAAGCAATCCAAAGGAAGAAGGCAGAGAAGAAGAAGATGTCAGGAGAGGCAGAAACCAAGCTCAGCGCTGAGGCACTTCGCAAGAAAGAAGAGAAAGAACGTGCTCGACAACTGAAGAAGTCTGGGCAGAGAGTTAAAATGCTCCGGTCTGGCTAAAAAAAAATCATACGTATCAGAGGCTCTTGCATTTCTTGCCTCAGGATTATCGGCCGAGAAAGCTTACGAATGGGCATCATCTTCTTCACGTTTGTTTTAGTATTTTCCTATTTTTGCCAGTTAAAATTTAGCCCAGGAGAAAGTCTTAAGAGGAATCTATTATCTTCCGATGCTTTGCTAAGTGAGAGACCTTAGCGAGATTATTTGCCAAGACATTCCAGTGTACGTTGTGAAACTAGTTACTTAAGACATTCCAGTGTACATTGTGAAACTTAGCTCAAGATCAGGAGAGCTGCAAGTCCTAGTTTGTTATGGCCAGGCACGGCCGGGGGAAAAAAAATTTATTCTATATTTCAGTATGTTGGCTGGAAATATAACAATCTAGACGTTGCATTTTGGTGCTTGAATCGTGTGTTGCGGCGAAACTAAAACGCCTGGATGTTGATATCGTCATAATCTATCCTGGGGTGTGTTTTTAACATCTTCAGAGCCTGAAGGCTCTGAAATTGAACGGTTCGATTATCGCCGTGTTCAATTAATATAGTGGTGCTTATATAAACAATTCAGCAGACAGTGATCCCCATCTTGAGAAGTTGCTCAGGGATCTTTCTGCGTTGATTTCCAGCAGGGATTCAGCCTCAGCCTCAAGCCATTTTCATGGGCGGTATTTAGACATGGGCAGTTACTGCATTAACACAGGTCAGTGAACGAGACGTAGCGGAGAGCATCGAAAAATTTATTATTATTATTATTTTGACATTTGCTCGAAAGCACTAAGCTTGCGTTATGGTTTCCAATCCTTATCATAACTTTGGAGTTTCGTTATCGTTGAACCAACTTTAGTTGTCAAAACCACACAGACTCAACCACACTGGACACACAATTAAAGGACAGCGGGGTTGAGAAAATTCACCACGGAAGGGACGTCTGCGCTTTTATTTTTCTCAACAACTCTACATTTTACAAAAAACAAAGAAACAGATTCACTACAAGAATCAATTAGGCCAACCCGACCAACTTCTCGCTGATCTCCCAGACTCTCCTAGCCTTCTCTACGTCGCTAGCCTCCTGCGAAAGCTGGTTCTCGAAGGACGCAGAGTTCTTGTTCCAGCTCCAGTACACCCCAGACTTCGTCAAGCTCGGATCGCTCACCACCTGCAAACAAGTTACCCCGCGGGTAAAATTTCCGATACACAACGTACTGAGGAAGTGTGACCGCTTGTTAGTAAGTTACTATTCCTCCAGTTTCGCTGTTACTGGTAGACCCCCTAAGTAGAGCAAAAAAAAAAAAAAAAGAACAAAAAAGACCCTTCCGTTGAAGGTAAAAAGATAAAAAAAATTTTAACTCAGAGGGTCTATCTGCAGCAGTAAAAGACCCCCTAAGCACATACACGTTTTCTAGTCCCGAAAGCGTGTTTTTTTTTTTTTGCTTCCCTATTTATTTTTTAACTCCCTTAGTAATATACACATAGGTAATGTTAATAATATTCCCACGAGATTCAGGCCTGAGTTCAAAAACTAACGGAGAAATAACATCGTCATATAACTTAGAGTAAAATTAATTACCTGGGCAAGCCTTTTGCCTGCGTCCTCCTCAGAGACATAGCCCTTGGTGATATACTTCTGAAAGGGAGGGAACAGCAGCCTGAACAACGGGATGTGCTCCCTGAAGAGCCCGGTGGTGGCGATGCAGCCGGGGTAAAGGGAGGCGAAGGTAATGCCGGTCTCCTCGTGGTATCGCCGGTGGAACTCCTGCATCATCAGCATGTTGCAGACCTTGCTGTCCTTGTAGGCTTTTGCCCCGTCGAACTGCCCGCCGTCGATCATCGTCGAGCCGGCCGTCCCGTTCAGTCCGGGGCGAGGCCTCGGAGGTCCCCGAGGTTTGCCTTCGGGGGGACATTTCCGGCCAGTGTGTTTGTGTTGCCTGTGGAGACGGAGAGGACTACGTGTTAGTTCTGAAGTATATATATATATTATGATACGAGGTGTTCTCGTATCAGCTCATTTTGCTAAATGAGCTACTAAGAAATAGTTTAGACGAACCTCACCGTTCGTATCGGTTGGTAAATCATTTTTGCTAAATGTGGTGACGGCTCACATCCACATCCTCTTTTGTACTCAAGTAATAAATACATACTTCTGCTGTCAACGAGATTTTGGGTTTAAGGTTCGCCTTTTCGACTAACATTTAATTCAAGCTCATCCTACATAATTCGAGCTAGTTACGCTTTATACCGAAGTAGTTTTGGGAGCAGTTTGGTCTTTACACACCGAAGCAGTTCGAATCTTGCTTAGTCTTTTAAATGGTAATTATTTTAACCAATTTTTGTACCTGTAATTGAGCCAACAATGATCAGCCGTCTCGACGGATAATCCGACTCCTTCAAGTCGTCAAGAAGCAGTCGAGCAAGCAAGAAATGGCCGAGATGGTTCACCCCGACGCTCATCTCGAACCCATCGGCGGGGTATAACTCGGCGCGCCTGCGGCTCGGTTCTTGATTAAAACTCGCGGCCGCATTGCACACGAGCCACACGTCCGATCCCGGCAGCCTTCTCGACGCTTCAAGCCTGGCCACAAACTGTGTCCTTTCACCGCGGACGCTGGCCGAGCGGACGCGATGGTTCCAAATGCATGGACGGTGTAGTCCCTCTGTCTCTTGCCTCATTCCGCGCGATTTCGCCCTTTCTCCGGCCTCTCGCGCGTCTCTGCCAGGCCAGTGCTATCCACCGTTCCATTTTCCAGTCTCGGCTAGGGATCTTCGCCCCCTGCGCCAGCGCCCCTGATTTTCGGCGAGGAGGCACCCGCGTGTACTGACTACGCAGTGCCCCTCTCCGGAGCCGTCTTACTTCGCTTCCGCGCGCTGCTTCACTGGCTTCACCGCTGGGCTCGCTGTAGCGGCAGTCTGGGCGCGGACGACGCCGATGGAGATGTTTGCCCTCTGCAGAGCACGTTGCGTGCATGTTAGAACATAGAGCAAGGCTTTTAAGATGGTATCATTTTCCTCGAGCCGTACGAGGAGAAAACCTCCCATACGTTTCGAGGGGGTATCGTCTATCGACATCTATCCCAACGAGCGATCTATCGAATCGTTGCGATTGATGTTCGATCTCGATCGAAGAGAAGAAAAAGATCTTTCGTAAAGTGGGTTAATTTTTACGATCCGACACAGAATCAAACTTATTTAAACGATCCTACTATTCGTTATTAATTTCCTTGGCTCGATCTTCTGTCACTACGTAGAATATAACACTCACGCAAATCTCTAGTTTATTCTCTCTTTCTGTGTATTTCTATTTATTTATGTGAATATTAACTCTTTTTCTTGGGAAAATTGCTTCTAGGCCTCAAATTTTTTTTAAAAAAGGAGAGGCTGCAGCACATTAGGGAAAGTAAGAGGGGCTGGGGCACAATAGAAGTTGAGTTTTGGGGTCTTGAAGCAATTTTCTCCCATTATAATATATTGAATTTCTTATATGAAATAGATATGTAAGAAAATACCGGCAGCCAAGTATTTAAAACGGATTTTTAAAAAGATATCGATGTATAAAATAGTTCAGGCTTCAGGCACACGAAGCTTTTCCTAAGTTCAACATGAGACAGATCATATTCTCTCTTTTCCGCTTTCGCTCCCTCATCCCGCACCCCATCCGTCCACCTGGCTTCCTTATTCAACAAAGTGATATTAATGCAAGACAATTTAGTCCATTATTAAAGCACGAATTTAGTCCATAAAATTTTCGCCATACAAAGCAAGAAGAATTTTTTTTTTTTTTTTTTTACCCCTTGAGGCCTCCTGAACACCAAAGGACTGAAGCTAGGCTTGGATTGATCAGAGAGAGGAGCCCCCAAGAAGACCGAGTCCTTGGCGCTCGCTTTTCCCTGCACAAACACTTTCGACTCAGACCCAGCCCTTGACCGACGCACGCACGTAGCTAACATCTACTCGTCCAAAAAAAAATAGCAACAGTATATATCTTGTTACCTCCTTGTGCGCTGAGAGAGCCGAAGGAAGCAAGGAAGCCCGAAGAGCCATTTGTGATCGAAGGAGCCGAGCTCGACGAACGCAGGGTTTGGTGTTAGCTCGGTCCGTTTTATAACGAGAAGAGTGAGAAGCCAAGATAAGGTGATAGGTGCTGGGCCCACGGGGCGAGACGTGGACGGTGAGCGTCCAATAGTAATTGGGATTCTGGATTTTCTTCTACTGAGGATTTTTCTGTTCTGGTCCTCCTAGGGCCATCTGGGCCTGTCCCCGTGATATTGGGCCGTTTGGGCCCCTGTGAGAACTTGGGATGGACCAGCTTATCTGCAGCGGGAAGGGCATGGGATGTGAGATGTTGCTGGATTTCGTGCTGTGCTGACATGGCGATGGGTTTAACGGGACCCGTGATACCTCGGCTTCTTGGGCAGTGGATCCTGCCGGCCATGTGAAGAGGGTTGGATCTTGATGACAAGTGTCATGGGAGGGCCATACTAGCGTACCCGCAGCTTACATTCTAACTGCAGTTGCATGCAACTTGGACAATTTTTTCTCGGTCATGGTGATGGGTTTAACGGGACTCATGATACCTCGGCTTCTTGGGCGGTGGATCCTACCGGCCATGTGAAGAGGGTTGGATCTTGATGACAAGTGTCATGGGAGGGCCATACTAGCGTACCCGCAGCTTACATTCTAACTGCAGTTGCATGTAACTTGGACAATTTTTTTCTCGGTCATGGTGATGGGTTTAATGGGACTCGTGATACCTCGGCTTCTTGGGCAGTGGATCCTGCTGGCCATGTGAAGAGGGTTGGATCTTGATGACAAGTGTCATGGGAGGGTCATACTAGCGTACCCGCAGCTTACATTCTAACTGCAGTTGCATGCAACTTGGACAATTTTTTCTCAGTCATGGTGATGGGTTTAATGAGACTCGTGATACTTAGTCATGGTGATGGGTTTAATGAGACTCGTGATACTTCAGCTTCCTGGGTAACGGATCCTACTGTCCATGTGAAGAGGGTTGGATCTTGATGACAAATGTCATAAGAGGGCCATACTAGCGTACCTGCAACTTACACTCTAACCGCAGTTGCATGCAACTACGACATTTTTTTAATCGGGTCTCGAGACCATTCGTTTTATTGTAACCTGTACATGCAGTTGCAACTACGGTTGAAAATTTACTCCAGTTGTTTGCGTCTATTTGAACTCATTTGAGTTGTAGACAATATTTAAGTTTCTCAAAACCACAACATTTCCGGAGAACTGGAACTCAAAAGACAACACCTCGCAACCGCAACCGAACCAAACAATATTCTCTCTCCATGTACGCGTAGAGGTAGGCTTTAAGCCTGAAATGTATCATGCTTTGATGTGGCGTGCTTCTCTCTTTTTGTTTTTGTATAATCATGTAACTATGTGCCGCGCAATCTACAATTTCTCGACCTTAATAACCACTCTTATCAATTGAAGGTAACA